AAAAAATTGTAGTCCCAGGTGCTTGGGAGGCTGAGGGAGGAGAATTGCTTGAACCCAGGAGGTGGAGGTTGCAGTGAGCCAAGGTCATGCCACTGAACTCCAGCTAGGTGACAGAGCAAGACTCCGTCTCAAAAAAAAAAAAAATCGTAGCATTCTATAAATGTAATAGCACTAAAGATGAAGTATGTAAAATTTAAGACAGTTATGCCAATTAGGAAAAAATCTGAATATAAACCCTGATAGTTCAGAGGAAGCGAAGAGAGGATTCAGCACCATGAGAATATCATTAATATTGGAGGAAATTCTCAATTTATTGAGACTGCAAGTCACCTATGAGTATCAATGAGGAAGCTGGAAGAATTTGATGCAGTTTCCTGTGTTATATCATGGCTCTAATAGGAATATATTATTTAGCTAGTGACTGCTGCAACCAACCAAAGATGACACCAATAATTCCCAGCTGGATTGGAATGTCATAGCATATATGGACAATTCATGTTGCCTGACATTGGATCTGCCCTTTCAGCCCATCTTGCACATAACCACCAGATTAATATTATTGCTTTTATGTTGTATACTTCTGTTCAAAAATCCTTTATAGGACACTTTAGCTTCAGAGTCAAAGCTCTCTCTAGTCTGCTTCCCATCTTATCTCCCACCATTCCTTAATAGCCTTTACTTCACCTAACCCTATCTATCCATTCTTTAAGATATCCAGCCAGCCACAGTAATCCCAGCACTTTGGGAGGCCGAGGCAGAAAGATCACTGGAGGCCAGGAGTTCAACACCAGCCTAGGCAACATGGTGAAACTTTGTCTCTACAAAAAAATAGAAATAAAAAAATCAGCAGGTTGCTCCTGCCTGTGCCTATCAGGTGGATCCCTTGAGATCAGGAGTTTGAGACCAGCCTGGCCAACATGGCAAAACCCCATTTTTACTAAAAATACAAAAATTAGCCAAATGTGGTGGCACATGCCTATAGTCCCAGCTACTCAGGGGGCTGAGGCAGGAGAATCACTTGAACCCACGAGGTGGAGGTTGCAGTGAGCTGAGATTGCGCCACTGCACTCCAGCCTGAGCGATGGAGCAAGACTCTGTCTCAAAAAAAAAAAAAAGATATCCTACAAGTTCTCATATTCATGCCTGTGTTCATAATATGTCTTAAATGTTTCTCCAGCCACTCATTAAATGTGCTGTATCTCTAACTTGAAGTTGTAATTTCTTGCTGAAAACATCTCCAAATCAAAATGTTTGTAATAGGCCAGGCACAGTGGCTCACACCTGTAATCCCAGCACTGTGGGAGGCCAAGGTGGTGGATCACGAGATCAGGAGTTCAAGATCAGCCTGGCCAAGATGGTGAAACCCTGTTTCTGCTAAAAATAAAAAATTAGCCAGGCATGGAGGCACACACCTGTAGTGGAGCTACCCCAGAGGCTGAGGCAGGAGAATTGCTTGAACCCCAGAGACCGAGGTTGCAGTGAGCTGTGATTTCGGCACTGCACTCTAGCCTGGGCAACAGAATGATAAGACTCCGTCTCAAAAAAAAAAAAAAAGTCTGTAATAAGTAACAATGTAACTAAAACAAACTAATCCCCTTTACCCAGATGGAAAATGAGTAAGAGAATGATCTTAGCTAAGGATTTAATAGAGACCTTACAAAGCAAAACTTAAATATGGCCTTTGGTTAACTGAAGTCCTTCAAACGCTGTGACTGACTCAATACAAAGTCTTTGGTGAGGTGCTGACTTCATAGTAAGGCAGCTGGAAAACATCTCTTTAACATGGATTCATGGCAGTATTTTTCCACTTCAAATAATGTAGCACGTCCTTTAAAAGAAAAACAATATTCTTGGACATCTACTGTTGACCTAGATTATTTTTGTTTTTGATTTTGTTTTTGATTTTGTTTGAGACGGAG